CCGCGAAAATGGTCGGGATCTCCACGTGGGCGAGCGTGATGGGCAAGGACCGGCTCGAAGGCTGCTACGGCGGCACGAGAGAGATGGTGCGCGAGCGTTAGACGCGGGACGCGCGTACTCTCCCACAGTCGCTTTTTGAACACTTTGCACACCACCGTTTTCCCGCCCCGAGGTGGGGGTTTTTTTTTTTCGGGCAGGTTGGGGGGGCCCCAAACAACCGCAAGGGGGCCAACCTGGGGCCGCCCCCCAGGGGGGGGAACCTTTTTCCCCCCCGAGGGCTGCCGCCGCGTTGCGCCACACCGGGGCGCGTGGTTCGGCGTGCGAGTAGGCACTTCATCATGGTGGACAAGGGGGCCTCGCCGCAGGGGGCCTTCCGGGAGGCCTTGGCACATTTTTTGGGTGTGCCGACCGCGACGGTGGCTTTGGGGGTGGAGAGCGACAAGGGGGAGCCCCCCCCCCCCCCCCCCCAACCTACACACACACACACACACACCACACACACACACACCACCACCACCACCCTCTTCGAGTCGTCGAGGCGCCACTTCCCGCCGAGACGCGTCCAGTGGCACTGCGTAGGCAAGCCGCCCTTCAAGGTGGTTGCCACCGTGACCGCCTTCTCCGAGGCGGACAGCCTCGGCGCTCCCCCCCCCCAGATGCGGAAGATCTCCCCACATCTCCCCGTCTCCCGGGGCCCAGATGCGCAGCAGACTCCACCGCCCCGTCCTGCACCTCCACCTTCCCTCACCACCACCACCTCCTCCCCCTCCCTCTCCACCACCCTCCTTGCCCACAGCCACCTCACTTCCCACACCCAGAGGCGAAGCGCGGGAGCCTTCTCGGAGCCTTCTAGGAACCTTCTAGGAACCTTCTCGGAGCCTTCTCGGAGCCCTTCTCTGGACTTGGCCGTAGGGATCCACCGCAAGCTGACGGGCCTCACCGCCGAGAAGGCGAGCTCGGCCGAGAGGTAGCCGAGAGGTAGCCGAGGCGCGGCCGAGGCGCGGCCGAGGCGCGGCCGAGGCGCAGCCGAGGCGTAGCGCGAGGTATAGCGCGAGGGGCAGCCGAGAGGTGCAGCCGAGGTGCAGCCCAGGTGCAGCCCAGGTGCAGCCAGGTGCAGTCAGGTGCAGCCCAGGTGCAGCCAGGTGCAGCCCAGGTGCAGCCGCGAGGGGCAGCCGCGAGGTGCATCCGAGATAGCGCGAGCGTGGTGCCGCCTTCTCCGCCAGCCGAGGCCAACCGACAGTCGGGCGAGGGCTGGATCACAAACTTGCGAGCCACCCTCAGGCTTTCGTGTACTAATTCATCTAACAAGCCCCCCTCAGGCGTCCTCCGTGCTGCCCTCCGCCATCGAGCGAATCACCAAGGTCGACACGCCGCAGCCGTGCGTGTGCGCGCTGCACGCGACTCTCTCGCCGACAGTCACAAAGTTCGACAACAACACGCGCTGGGGCGGCGAGATCCCGATGCGCGTGATGCTCGAGAAGCTTTACTGTGAGCGGCGGCGCGTGCCGCGCGTGCTGCTCGTCGTCAACGGCGGGCCCGGCACGCTGCAGACCGTGCGCGAGTCGGTGATGGGCGGCTGCCCGGTCGTACCTCGTACTCAATAGTGGACGACTCATCATCCATCTCTCATTGACAGGTGATGGGCGGCTGCCCGGTCGTGCTCGTGTCCGACTCGGGGGGGATCGCCACTTGCCTCGCCGACTTCCTGAAGGCGGGCGACTCATGACTCTTAATTGATAAAGTAATCAGCAGTCGTCAATATGACCGGCTCCTCCCCGCATTCCTCAAGGCGGCGGGCAAGGAGTCGGCGCTGCAGTCGTGGAAAAAGAAGTACGAGGCCGAGTACGTCAAGAAGAAGGACGACCGACCCAAGTGGGACAAGATCCAGCGCGCGATGCAGGAGATCGCCGCCGTGCAGGAGAAGGAGAAGAAGATCTCCTCCTTCGCGCTCTCCGAGACGTCCACCGCGGCGCTCGACCTGCACGTGCTCAACGCGGTGATCAACGACGACACGCAGTGCCGCGCGGGCACCCGGCTGCAGCTGGCGGTGCAGTGGAACCGGAAGGAGGTGGTCCAGTCAGTCATGCTCAACCTGCGCACCAT